TGATTTTTTACACAAAAAATTAATTTTTCCACGATATAGTCTATTTTGTGTACGCTTTGAAAACACGTGTTGCGTTCGATTTCTATCGCTATCGCTATCTCTATCGCTATCGCGTTGGGTGCGCAGGCTTAAAAACAGTTAGAAAAAAGTATACTTACCGATAAGAATTGTACTGATCTTTAACATTAAATGCAAATTTGCAAATCACTTTAAAACTCATTTATTAGCTAATGAAGAAATAAGCTTTTTAAATAAATAATCCTTTTGCACCCAAAAGTGACATTCTGGAAATATTAAAATTTTTTAGTTCCTAAGAGTCTTATTTCACGAAACCATAAAATCAGGGAAATCACTGAAACCCCTGAAGCAATAAACATATACTAGTAATTGTCTTATTTTAAGTGTTTTTTGCATACAAAACTGGGTGAAATTCCAGAAATATTTAGCCTAACTTTACATGGTGCATTGATAAATTCACTTAAAAACACAAAATAATTGTTTTCATTAAGACAAGCAAAACCACAAATGTTAATATCACGGCAAAATTAAAAAAAAAGTGACATTCTGGAAAATTCGGAGCGACACTATTATAATAGAAATCCACGCTTTTGTTGATAAAAATTTTCCGGCAAAAATTGAATATAACAACTAAAAGTAAGATGGTCATTCACAAAAAGTTACGCCTTTTTCATTGTTTCTTTTTTAAACTTTTTTTTCATGTTGATTATCGAATAAACTGAGCGGGGACAAATATTTTTATATGGAGTACAACAAAACGGCTTAGAAAAGCTTTAAAAAATTTAAAAAGGGGGGACAAAAAAATAGCACTTTGTTTGGAAATGACCCATATACATGAAAGAAGTGTTAATTCTGAAATTTTAATTTTTGATATTAAGTGCATGATATAATCATAATGTAATGTTTTTATCATGATTAGGTGTATTTGCATATTCTTTCAGCAGAAAACTCTCAACAATGAAATTCTAACGACTTTTTATTTTTTATATCGAAAAAAGCATTAATAAGGATAAGTACTAATAAGGTGACTGCTTTTGGGGTTTTTGTAATTGAAGTAATCGACAAACCTTTTTAAATATAAGATAAGGCATGAAATTCTGTTTAATCATTAGTAGATATGAAACTTAGCTGATCATGAAACTTGCAAAGTTTTTAGACTGGTTTTCACTATGTCATATTAGGTTTTTTCCCGTACGCAACGTAACAGTCAAGATGAGTAATAGAGAGCAAAGAAAGCGTTGTAAAATTGGAACGTATTGGATAGTAAGTGTGTTCTTCTTCCTGCCCGAAACAGCCCGCACTTCAGCTGTTCTGTGTTTACATGTACTTTTTGATTAATACAATAAAATTTGTGAAAACCAAATTCAATTTCCAAGTGTTAGCATTTAAGTGTCGATAATAAAAACTACTTGAATCAGCTAGTATTTCTCAACACTTCTGGATATTTTCGTTTATTCTCTAGTTACCGGATCCGGTCCAGGTTGGACTGGAAAGAACGTATTTTGACGCCAAAATTTCTCGACATATTTTGACACAACTCTATCTTTTTCATACAAGAAATTCTGTATAACATCAAGTCCAACTATATGCATACATATGTATGTATATATGTATACAATTATTTAGAAAATCAACAGTAGTTTAAGGGAGTAAAAGTTATGCCTTTTATTCATTTTGAACTCCATCACATTTACAAGACAGAGTTTCCTAAATAGGTAACACAACTTTATTCCACCTTTACTCTCTTTAAATTGTAATACAACAATGAATTATTTCTTACAAATACTACCACTTTAATGCCCGCTACTTGTTGGCGACTGCTTGCACGCTCGTCGATCAATTGACAAATCAGCTGTGAAGCAAATTATCATTAGAGACGCTGTCAAAATGCAAAGCTTCTATGTCAAACTTGGCAGCACTGATAGAGCTAAATGACAGTCAGCTGTCGTCAACAGCTGTCGCTGGCACTCTGTGAAGTCAAGGCACCATTTAAAATTTGAAATTCGAATAATTTGCAAAGTGCCTAATAAGGAATGTTTATTTCAATGAATACAGATCTAAAATAGTCTGCTTAATAACCTGATAATTATTGATAGATCGCGTACGCAAACTACATGCAAAAAAAGGGGAAATTGAGAGAGTAAAGTGACGGTTCACTTGGAAAAAGTTTAACTAGCAGCCAACTGCCAGCAAGAAAAATATCTGATCAAAGTCATCTGTCTGCAATTGTTAAAAATAATGAATTTTTTTATGACTTTAATAAGTTACCGATATACATACTTAACTTGTTTGTTTGGGAAAAAGCAGAATTTGATAAATTTTTTTCGTTTGCGTATCAAATTGATTTAGGCAAACTATTAATTTATATTCTTTTCATGTGTTTGTTTATGCTTTTGTGTGTAAACAAAATTGCGTTCAACTTTACTTTATATTTGCAAGTTTTTGCTGATTTTTCGTTCGATTAATTTTTAGCATATTTTCCAATTTGATAGTGAATCGTTTGTTACTCTCCTGGAAGTTTCTGCTGTATAAATTTTACTGGAGATCTATTCGAACAGACTATAATTCATATTTACAATTGTCATATGAGCGGTAAAATGAAATTACTGAATTAAAGCGCAGGAGAATTTACAGATTAATTCTTCCGGTGAATTTTTTCTTTACCCCCACTTTGTCTAATCTAATTGAGAATTATCGGGGAGAACTTGCCTATATAATTTTCATCGTACCATAAAAAAAACAAAAAGGCAAATATAGTTTATGACGAATTTAGGTATCATGCATGGAATATAACCGAGAAGTGATAATAATTTACTTTAGGAGATTCTTTGCAGATAGAAGCCTTATTTTGTTAAAGTATTTCAGACTCTTTCTCTTTCCTTCCTTTCTTGGAAAATCATCTAGAATGATTTCTTAGCGAACTTATACTGCAGCGAATTCCAATCTGAGATACATAAGCATGCATGTAACTATGTATGTCTACTGAAAATGTACTCAGTCAATTTGCTATCAGGACCTTTGGGTTAGTAATGACCCGATATGCGTTCGCGAATGCCGAAAAAGCTCACAATATCTATGTCAGCGTAGAGCCATTCTCTATTGGGTCGCAGTGGTATTACGGGAAGCAGACAAATGCGCGAGAAAGGGATCTTAAAAAAGTACATGCAACTATGTAAACGAAGCTCAAAAAAACCTGCAACCTCTTTTGCGATTCCTATCCTAACGAGTCGAAGAGATGGGTAAAACATTTGCATACATGCGTTGTATCGCGCTCGCTTTGGCCACTGCTTTATGACAAAGTACACAGAGTTTGTCAAGGCTCTCAATATCGAACTTTCGGTTTCTCATTTAATTTTTGACTTTTATTTAATTACTTCTTGGATAACAGTTATTTCTGATTTGTATTACATAAATCCAAAATAACAGTTATTCTTGACATTTTTTTTCTAAATAATCTGCTAATAACATTTATTTTTGATTTACTAGTATCGCAGTACTATCATAATATTATCATGCCTTAGATAACAGTTATTGAACACCTTTATTTATGAAACTCATCAATCAGTCAGTTACTTTCACTTTTAAACGTCATCAATGTAAACCAGTCACTCACTTTTATTTTTTAGGTCATACTTATAAATAAAAGTCAGTGACTGATTTATACTGACGACCTTTAAAAGTTAAAGTCAGTGTAACGGGTATTTGCAGATTATTTAGATAAATATCAAAAATAATTGTTATTTTGGATATATAAAATAAAAATCAAAAATAATTGTTTTTTGAATTGTTTTTGAATTGTAAAAATTTATTTTCAAATTTGTTTATCACTGAAAAAAGAAATCGATTAGTATGAATCACTTAAATAGTTGTAGAAAATTTCCTTCATAGTGAATTCTCAATGACCGTTTTCATCAATAACTGTTATTTCGGTCCCGGAATAATTCTGAATAAAATTGGTGAAATTTTGATGAAACTTTGCTGATTTTCTTTTTAGTTTTTGTGCAAAATTCTTAATTTCTAGAGGACCACACCTTCGACAACTTGAACAGCTTAAAGAAACGGTTTATTTGGCACATTAAATATTTATTTAGGTGTTACATACACATTGGTCGTATTTAATGATCGAAATTTATTCATTTCACAAAGGTTAAACATACACATTATATAAGTAACATACATTCCCAAATATGTACTTACATACATACACACAAAAATCTGTTTAGTTCAGGACAATAAATCACCGTCACTGAAGAGGCGTTTTGAAAAGTTTGCATAGTTTTTCCACTGCAAAACACAAAAAAACCTAACTGGTATGCAGGGTAAAAGGAAAGTATTGGGAAAAAGGACACGGAAAATTAGAAAAGCTTTGACATTTGCATATCTGACCAAATAAACGTCGAGGGAAAGTCAAACGAGAAAAAGTAGCAATCGAATAAAAAAGAGAAAAACTAAAGTAAATAACTACGAGATTGTGTATTCAATTTCGATTTAACACTTTGCAGGCGAAAGTGTTTGGAATTGTTACTGTAAGTTTTTTTCCTAATCTTCTGCCTTGTGATTTGCGCTTAAATGGTGGACAACACAAAAATGCCGGCACATATTTGAATAGATAAATACAAATGTAAAAATGGACACAAAATAGCGTAAATACAATCAACTAGTGACATTTGTTGGTTAATCTTTATTTTCAATAAAACTTTCTGAACTTCTGCAACAATAAAAAAAAGTTTGCAACAAATTTGGTTTCCTTTATTACATCGGTTTTTTTGCAAATGTCAACTTTTTCTTATTTATTGTATTGCTTTATTTACTGTGCTCAAAATTATATTTACCACTTTTCTCTCCTTATATTTATTTATGTATATTCTCACTTCCTTTTTGTACGTTTGTCTGCCGAGGCATTCGCTTTATCGTGTTTTGTAACGGATTTCCCTGTTTGAGATTTGCAAATTTGTTTTGTTTGTTTGTATTTGGTTCTACAGATCGGCAATTACGATATTTCCGCAGCGCACAGATGGACGTCACGATTATCGCATTTGGAATAGTCAACTCATCTCCTATGCTGGATATAAGCAGCCGGATGGTAAAATTATTGGGGATCCTATGAATGCTGAGTTTACTGAGGTGAGTCAGACAAATTTACATACATATTGTAAGAATATAGGCATGTAAGTGGTTCATGGTCCATTGCACAATTTTCTCATTACTTTTATTTTAATAAATTTTTACTATCTACTATATTTTTTTTTTAAATTGCTGCATGACTGTGGCTAGAAAGTTAAGAATGCTCTAACTACGGTAATACAGAATGTTCCCTTGGTCACGGCCCACTGGCATATGCCTGCTTTGGAGCCGTCTATGTACTATAGCTGGGTGCTCACCCGCACAATTCACTTCGTACTAGATGAACTTTAGATTGCTTTGCTACAATTCTCTATCATAAAATCTTTTCAAAAATAGAGCTCAATGTGTTCGGCATTTGTTCGGCCTCTTCGTGTGAACATTTTGGCAAGAATTTACATTACATTATACCCGTGAGATATTCTTAGGTGAATACGCCTAGACAGGAATCATATATTTTAAAAGTCTAAACCTGATGAGAGTTGTTATGGTTTCAAACGAAGACAAATATTAATATTAGGAGCAACCGACGAATATGAAGACAATACATTCCCACGACAGTCGGGGAATTTGTATGCTGTTAAAACAACAACGGAGACAAATACGGAGGCGAATTAGAAGACAAACATACGAGGGCGTACATACATGTGTACATATATGATGACGGACACGAGTACGGAGGCCAAAACCAAGACGAATGACGGAGAGGAAATGAATGAGAATACGAAGACGCATACGGAGTGTATGAATATGAAGACGAGGCTAAACCGATATGACGACGAAGACGTATGCATATTAGGGTGGTCCAAAAATGCATGTGAAAAAGAAAAGTGGCAATTTTTATGTCCTCACTCCCTGGAATTATTCTATACCGAAAAAAATATACGCCAATTTTCGTATTTTGAAATAAAAATATATTTAGAGGTCGTTCAAAGAGAAACTGAGTTTTCCAATCGAAAAATATTGATTTTCAAGAACTCTATACCATTTCTACGAAAAGTGTTTTTTCCCCATCTAAAATGCACGGAAAACTTTGAGCGCTTTTAGCGACCTCTAAATACTTTTTGATTTCAAAATAAAAATAGGGGTATATTTTTTCGAATATTTTTAGAAAAATTCTAGGGCATTAAAAATCCGAATTTACTTATTTTGGATCAGCCTAATGTACAGATATGCACCTCCCTAATGTATATATATGAACACGAAAAGTTTTTTAAGACGAATTTGCTTCTTCTAGGGGAGTTTTTATGGTTTAAAAAATCGGTTGAAGAGGACTCCAGTTCATGGTAATTTTTCCGCAGATCAAAGAGTGCCAAGGTCTTCGAGAACTTTAAAATAGAAAAACGGTCGAGTTTCGAGAGTGCCAGGCACTCCTAGTTTATTTAGTTTGGTAACTATGGGGTGGATATAAAACGGATTTGGCTGTTTCAATGGCACGGATAACGCGGAAATTTTCTACCTAAAAATTTTTTCTAAGTTATCTGTTATCAGTTGCCCCACAAGCATTTCAATGTAGACAGTTCAGAGATAAACTAAACGAAAAATTTCGTTCGTTGACGATTGTTGTAGCCGAGCGACCCGTGGGCCGATGTTGCTTAAACAATAACAACGCAATATCTTGTTCGTGCATGTTGATGCTTGCACAGATGAACGAATCGTGGTTAGATTTGAATTTTTTTACACTTCGTCTGCCAGCAGAAATCTTTGCGTTGTTTAAGTATCCAGTGTCCCTCATCGCATAACAAAGCAACCAGTCCATGTCTTGTTCTGGTAGATACTATCTCTGAACTAGTAACTTTATTTCATGGGGACACTTGCGCACGGCAGGGTATGTATGGATGTATGTATGTATGTAGATGCTCAAACGACAATGTACATATTAAAAACATTAGGGGTATTCTCTGAGTCTTGCAAAGCCCTTGCATGGTGCACGGATTGCACGGTTTGCAAAGCTGTCCCATACGAAAACCGGTTTTTACCGTGCAATCCGTGCAATCTGTGCACCATGCAAGGGCTTTGCAAGATTTAGAGAATACCCCTATTCATTCATACAAGCATAATTGCTATTCCTCTCTCAATGACACCATGTCACGTCATGACTGCTCATACGCTAAGGCATACAACTCACTTCGGTTTACATTAAATCTACACTCGTGCTAACGGACAGCTTTCAATTTATGTCCTTGTAAAACACATTTACACACATGCATACTATATACATACATATATACGAATGTACAAACATTTAATGGAAACATTTCCATCTAATCTGCAGCAGCGTTCTATGCTTCAGCTTCCGCTTGTTGTTTCTAACACCGGACAAACATAGCCGTTGGTGTTTACCTAACGCATTACGTGCAACAACAAAGAGATTTTAGATATTTATTTAAATTTAGCATAAAAGCCGTTTAGGTGCAGGCTCAAATTTGACCGAACGTTGGTCAGTTAGAGCGGTCGCGGCTTCACTGGCGAATTCGATATTTGGTATTGTTAGGAATTTTGGGTTGCCATTGACATTTTATTTGGCTTTTTGATTTGTCATCACTAACAGACATGCTCAGGTACATGTGTTTGGTTGTGTTTGGTTATGTGTGCGTATTTAGGGGTTTTGCATATTTTACAGTTGGTGCCTTTAATTCCTCCTGAACTAGTTTTTATGTGTGTTGAACTATTTATTTGAATATTTTGGCTTGCTATTTCATTTCAGGTTTGCCTCAAATTGGGCTGGAAGGGCAAGGGCACAGAATGGGATATATTGCCGTTGGTTGTGTCAGCGAATGGTCATGATCCGGACTATTTTGATTATCCACCAGAATTAATATTGGAAGTACCCTTAAGTCATCCAAAGTAAGTTTTTTTTTCTAATATTAAAAAAATAAAAAATAATAATTTCGTAAATGGAAATTTTCATGAAATGCATTTAATTTCTGTGTGTGTGTGGAAATGCGTGTTCGTGTTGGTTTAAACCCGTTGTAACGAAATGTTTTAAGTTAAGCTCATATTAGTATTCCAGATATGCATGTTCTGATATTCTATTTTAACAACATGGTTGAGCTTAGATGGGCATAGATTCATAGAAAAGCAGTCTAGTTTGATTTGACGTAGGATTCTAGAGACCACATGAGTCTGATTAGCTTTAGGCATTGAAACTTTCAAACGAAAATCAGGGCTGGAATCGTAACAGTCGTTAATGAGCAAATCGTCACGTAAACATGCATCTTTTGGATTCTAACAGTCGTGAACCTACTGCTCGTCTCGTATATCGAATTACGAAACGAAATGTGCTTGTGACGAAGAGCTTTTGCACGAGCGTTTGTTTGGTTTTTCAACTGTCAAAATTTTACTTTGCATTTGGCACTACAAAACTCACCATACCATAGTAAATTTTTTCAGCCTATGGCAGAAAAAGTATGTAGGCTTTTTAGGTTGCATAGTTTTAGGCGCAATTGTTATTCATTGCTACAATTCTACTGAAAGCAGTCCAAGCAGATGAGGAGCCCAAATCAACTTTTCAACCACTTAAGCAGGGATCACACGATTTCTACATTTGTACGTTTGGCAGTCACACGATAATGAGTGCAGCTTAGTAAAAGCTTTCCAAACAATACCACTCTGTAACGGTGAAAATGGACAAATCTTTACAAATGTACAAATCGTGTGATCCCTGCTTAAGTGGTTGAAAAGTCGATTTGGGGTTTCCGGCCTACTACAATTCCTATATATTCCATAGAGGTGTGCATATCTATGTGCAAAGAAAATATTGGATTGTAACTTTGATTAATATTACATACAGCACATAAAATCTCCAAACCACAAAAATGTGAGAAATTTGTGCAAATAAGTAGATCATTACCTTTTAAAAAAAGAAGAGATAAAAATAAAGTCAGACCATAAATATATACAAATATTAAACTTGCAGTTAAAGCTGTGCACTGCAGTCAACCTTAGTCAATTTGTGGGCTGCCTAAATAACTCAACTTAAAGATTGAAGTTATCCGCATTGAACTTAGTATCTTAACAAATCGTTTGGTTTGCCTTTTGACTCAACGCACATCGCACAGTAGCCTTTTGCAATACCGCAATAGTTGGTTTGGCGGTTTTCCAGTTGAGTCAAATAAATCGACCGCTCAGTAAAAGATAAATATTATTTGAATAATGTTTGCCTCGCAATTTCGACAGATACAGATTCATAAAGACAAATTGGTGTATGTGTGCGTATGAGCGAATTTGTTAGCTTTAGGCAAACCTAAATATTTATATATGTACATATAAAACACAATAATGATATATGCACTTGATAAATATATGTATTCGTAAATATACTGGAGCATGTGTATTTTATTTGTTTATTCGAGTAACGGTGATGTTTACACATCCATCAATTGCAATTGTTTACTGAGGAAGCATACTACTGCTATACATATTTTAGTTTACTACATATACAAATACAAATACATATGTACATACCTGTATACATACATATGTTTACTTTTCCCACCAGATTCGAGTGGTTTGTGGTTTTGGGTCTCCGCTGGTATGCCGTGCCCGCAGTCTCATCGATGCTCTTCGACGTTGGTGGCCTCCAGTTCACAGCGACTACATTCAGCGGTTGGTATATGTCAACGGAAATTGGTTGTCGGAATTTGTGTGACACAAATCGACGCAATATGTTAGAGGTGAGTGAAAGTGTTGCGAACTACTAACAAATTTAAAGGTTGACATTAGAGTTGGAAAGTCGTGTACTACATACTAGCGTGGGCCGAAAATCCGCTTTTTAGAATTTTGATTGGTAATAGCAAAAATATAGTTCATTATGCTCTACAAACAATCTATGTGAAAGATGACAATTTTTGGTCAATATTTTAGACTCGCCCAAGTCCATCAAAGTTCATTGAGCTTACCGACTTAGTTTATCTTGGCCACTATTTGACTACCTCTTGGTTCAATTTAAGGTTTAATGAGTTAATAGTGGCAAGTCATAAATGTGGCGATATCACTTCACGTTACCTTCATTTTCAATACATTCATATCCTATTTTACTCTTCTCAACCATACTGCTCGATCAGAGTATTCCGATTGTTCAAAATTGTAACATCACCATTACCGCTGCTAGGTTGACAACAAGTTTTCACCGTTGCACAGTGGTCACAATGCTCAATCTAGCTGGAAGAAAATAAAATTTTCGAAAATCTTGGAAACAACAATTTTGTTTGATTATAAGTTAGAAAGTGTCCACAGTGCATAACGGTATATTTGTTTTGTTTTAATTCGCTGAAATAGCTTCGCTTTATGCTTTGAAAAACAGGTGTTTAGTTTGTTCATACAATATTAATTGCAAAGTTGATCTTTATTTGAAAAAGTGGAGTGGTTTTCAAGTAATTTAAAAAGTGTGGATATTTTCTGTGGATAAAAATTATTAAGGTGAAGATATTAGTAATTCTTTCTGTGTATGAATATTGGTTGAATGTGGTAATTTGTTTAGATAAAAATTCGTTGTATCACATGTATCTAGCTCGTGGCAATTTTTGCAATATTAAAATTCGATTAAAGTTTTGGGTAGAACTTAATCCGACTTATGCTGTGGTTAATGAATTTTTGTCAAGGCAATTATATCAGCTTTTCAATGTTTGCATAATCAGCTGCCAGTTTTTGCCTAAACGATTTTTTTTCGCTCACAGTGGAAAATGCCGATAACAAGGAGGGAACTTTACAATGTTTGGTGTAGTACGAAACAGCAAAAAGAAAAAAGCAATGCTGTTTTAGCATATATTTTCAATTATATCGGGGTTCAAAGTGAAGAAAATAATGAATACAGTAAAGATGTGCGGCAATCTGTTTATATTTTTATATCCATTTTGAAAAAAAAGTGGACGCAGGCCCATCGAACAAAGCTTGTGTTTGAGAATTCAAATAAAGTTTGGTTAGATGAGATATTTGTTGTTCCAACCAAACCTTCGACAACTTTTGAAGAAGAATTATTAGAGGAACCATCAACATCTAAGCGTGGAAGACCTTTAAAAGAATTTTTCGATCAAAGCGAGAGAGCAAAGCGAACGCACGTAGCACCTTTATTGGAGAGTTGGTCGCCAGAAGAATTAGGGTTTGCTGCTGGAGTAAGTCTCTATAAATCTGGAAAGAGAGATGCTGCAAACATTGTCAAATCTATAAGTTTGCTCCGTCAGAAGCGTCCGCAATGAAAAAAAATTAAACTTTTCTTTTAAGGAACCAGTACCTTACACTTTAAAAAGCTCAAATAGCTGCGATAGGTCCAACTCAAATTTTTGAAGAAGATGAACAAATTAATGTCACTCATAATTTTTATTTGACAATGATTGATGGGAAAATATTCTCGACAATCGCGAATTCTTCTTCACAATGTTGTGGAATTTGTGGAGCATCGCCAAAATTTATGAATAACCTGAGTGCAATAGAAACATTTGACCCAAAAGAAAACCTTTATGAGTATGGCTTGTCAACATTGCACGCTTGGATAAGGTGTTTTGAATATGTTCTTCATATTGCGTACAAGCTAAATGTTCAAAGATGGCAAAGCAGAGGAGACTCCGATAAAGTAACAATAGAGGCAACAAAGAAAATTATTATTGATCGCCTGAAAAAAGAAATGGGCCTGCTGGTTGATATTCCTAAGCCGGGATGTGGCACAACGAATGACGGCAACACGGCTAGAAGATTTTTTCAACAACCAGCTTTAGCTTCCGAAATAACTGGTGTTGATGAACAATTAATAAAGAGATTTGCAGTAATTTTAAATACTATGTCCTGTGGCTTTGCTATTAATGTGGAGGCATTTCGAGATTATGCGATGCAGACAGCACAGCTGTACATACAATTGTATTCATGGTATTATATGCCATCGAGTGTTCACAAAGTTCTAGTGCATGGGGCAGACATTATTCAATATGCTGCACTGCCTATTGGAATGTTATCCGAGGAAGCCTTGGAATCTCGAAATAAGGATTTCAGGAATATCCGAGAGAATCATACAAGAAAAATGTCGCGAGAAAAAACAATGCACGATCTCTTTCATTATCTACTTTTATCATCGGATCCTCTTATATCATCTTTTTCAACCAAGCCTTCTCTTCGTTATAGCAGTACAGAGCCTTTATCTGAAGAAGTAATAGCATTACTTTCAGACGCGTCTGACGGGCTAGTTCCACACTCAGAAGTCGATTCAGAAAGTGGTGTAGATTCTGATTGAAGAATTCAAAACATAGATATTTAATATTTTTTAACACACTTAAACTATTTCTCAATAAATCATAACGTTTTATAAAGTCAAGCAAATTTTATTCTGGCTACAACTATGAGATACCCATTTTACCGATTGCTCTTATTTTTGATGAGAACATCCATTTTGATGTAAACATTCAGCATGCAAAGTTTCTCATCGATACATCTTCGCAAAACCAAGATATGATTTTTTTCCCGCTAGATTGAGCGTTTGGACCACTGTGCGTTGTCTTTATTCCTCATTATGCCTCTGGTATTTCTTTTGCCATACAATTTTCAGCTTAATTGCTCAATAAATCAAAATAAATACACAACTTATACGATTTGCTATAATAAAATATTCGCTTTATTGTTTTTTTTCTCATTTTCCTTACAGACAATTGCGTTGAAGATGAATCTGGATACACGCACACCCACCTCCTTGTGGAAGGATAAGGCTGTGGTTGAGGCAAATATAGCAGTGTTGCATTCATATCAGAGCCATAACATTACAATTGTGGATCATCATACGGCCAGTGAGAGTTTTATGAAACACTTTGAGAATGAATCAAAATTACGGTAAGCCATATTTAGAAGCCACTTTAGCTGCGTAAACCAATTGCTTTTTTATTGAGTTATTGCTTTTGTTATTAGGATACATTTATTTTTGAATACCCACAGGGAGTGAAGAAAATGGTTGCAAGTTCGTAATTTATTTGTGTCTAAATATGTAGATTCGCTGTTTTTTTTATCAATGCATGTTTTGTTTTGAACCATCAAGATTGCCGAGGCTTCGTGCTTATAGATTTCCGAATATAAGTCCCTCCCCGTTCTTATTGAAAACATAAATATACAATTTTACGACAAATTCTTTCTTTGATGAGAAAATTCTATCGAATTAATTATTACAAAACCACATTACTACCCAAAGGCTAACACCCAAATGAATAAAAAATAAAGAAGATTTTAACTGCTTTATAAATCGACTATGAATTGGGCCATTAGGTGTTGTAAATACAAAAAGGCTCTAAATCACGGCCTATATTACGTTTACGATAAAAATATCTTATTCATACTGATGATTTGTGGCAGATGTCTAAACTCGATGAGCGAAATACTCGCAATCACATTTAGAGGTCTATTCTGCGCTGGTAACAATAATTTTGTAACTGGTAAATGAATTTTTAAACCCTTTTCGCTTTCTTAGCACTCTTGTAACCGGTAAATTTTGTTACGAACTCATAAGTTGGTAACAAAATTTTGCATCGTGAAATATGCAATGCGAGCGCTTTTCCACAATTCTTCAAAGCTGAATTGCCAACGCACCTAGAATCGCGATGACAAGAAGTGGTAACATTTTTTTGGTAATCAAATTTTCTGGTTACAAAATCAGCGGTAACGTACAGATTAGACCTATTAAAGATATTTATTATTAGTCAGGAGGGAAGAAAGAAGGAGAGTAAATCCAAAGCAGACCAACTTGGTAGTTTTTACAAGAAAGTACAATAAGTATACCTTTTTGGTCAACACCAATGGTAGAAAATATTACCAAAAATGTGGCAGTTATTAGGAGCGGTAAACTCACGTGGGGGGCGAGAGTGGATCAGAGGGTCAAGAAGGCCTTCAAGGCTTGGTAACACATGGGGCTTTTCTTCTTGACATTTAGGAATTCTTCAAGAGGTCGGAGAATGTAAAGAGCTTGCGTAACTGTGTATGTATGTGTAACTGCGACATAGTTGCGAAGAATACGGTTGAGAAATCTCCACTGAGACATTTTAAAATTTCAAGTCATCCACATCCCAGTCGGCGGAATGAGAAGCGTTTCTACACGAACACCTTCAGGAAGGGATTTTTCAATAACTTATTCTTTTTGGAAGCTTTATTAGAGGATATTCCAATAGCGCTGCCATTCGTAGACAGACGAGAAGGTGGTGCGTTTACTGCAAAGTTAAATTCAAACTGTTTTATTATTATTTCATGTAAATTTTTCTCTTCTAAGGGAAGCTGAATCATAAGGCCTGCAAACTCTGGCCATGCCATACAAAATTAAAAAGAGTAAAGAATCGAGCACGGAGGGCCTATTACTTCAAAATATACGAACTAAAGGCTCCCAAAAGGCCTATTTTTTCTAATTTTGCCGACTGGGATCTATGAAGTAGTGCCGATATCAAATGATTTTTGAACTTTAATAAAATTTCAAGTAGGTTGTTAGAACATTTTACATTGATGGTGACGCCTCTCATTTAAAAAAAATTTCTCTTTGAAAATGTCAATGTAAGGGATACAAAATGCATTCAAGTAAAGGGATCCGATGTCGTATATGGCGTATTAAGAACTTTTTCACTTCGATATATCCTTCGTTTTCATGCTCTTTCCGGCTGGGTGCACAAATTCATTACAGTTGTTGTTTTTCTTTCTAAATTTTTTACGTTGCTTCATAAAACCATTGCAAGTGCATACTATGTTCATATATACATACATATGTATGTATGTGCGTAAACATTTGATGCGCATTTTTATGTGCGTCCTTTTTGAATTTATGTGTATACTCGTACGTGTTCCATTTGACGTTTCACCTGACATGTGATGGCTCTGATTCAATGCAATAACATAAACATCAAACTGTGATTACTTTGTTTTGTTGCTTGCTGATTTTTATTAGTTTCAATATTCCGCTTCGCAACATAAACTTTCGCTTACTGAATTTGTTTGTTTTCATTTCCGGATTCCAAAAAAAGACAGCAACAAGACAATAATACAATTTGCGTTTCCATTCCGCTAACTCGCAGTAATCATTTTCCATTGTTATTACTTTGTTTTGCACTAATGTCTATATACTAATATATACTGAAAGAAAAAAAAAATGTCTCTGACGTGAATCGATGCGCGGTTTTGTTATGGTAGTTCAAAGTAATAAATGGGTAAGGCTTCCTCAAGTGGGCAGCGAATTTACCAACATTAATATTTTTCAATGATATTCAGGCAGCGCCGAGTTTTGTAGTCGAACAGTGCACTGTGTAATTTTTGTTGCAAATTTCCAAATAGTTTCTTTTTAATC